GTGATTTCAGTGAGCCGAGTCGCTTTAGTTTGTGGGCAGTGTTTGCACCGCTGTGAAGAGTTCGCTCTCTCTGTGCGTCGCTGCAGCTCCTTCTCTGAGGTCGAGCTTGCACATGCGATGTCCTGTAACTGCTGCACCCTCACTGTGATAACTCACCTTGACTTCATTGTTACTTTTCGAGTCAGTTAGCAGGGCTGATTTCTCATTATCTTTTTATTGCCACATTGTAATTTTTTTTTTATGTGTTGATTCCTCATGTCATCAACCAGTGAACTCCATATCAGTCACGTAGTTAAATCTGGGTTTGATTTTAATGAAGCAGGAGAGAGGGTTGCACTCACGGTGGTATTTGGTAGACCAGGATAAATGCATACCCGTAGGTTTTTTTTTTTTTCTCTGGTGAGGAACTTTTATCGCACTTCCTTAAACGCGTACCTCTGTTGGACCCATTAGATTTCCTGGCTATGGCGCGGATTGGGTTTTGGGAGGGGTTGGTCGGGCAGGTAGGCGAGAGGGGGTGGGAAGAGAGCGTAGTAGGGCCATAACAAATGTATCCCCGTAGGTTATACTTTTTCTGTTGAGGTACTTTAATCGCATTGCCTTTGACTTTTAGACGTGTTTCTGGCGCTGGTGTCTCATATTGTGATGAATTTCTGATTGAAGGGGATGGGGTTAGGAGATGAGCCGAGAATAGGATGGGGTTGGTGGGAGGGGGCCGATCTCACTGCTAACCCATGTGCATAAATGTCTTATACTTGCACACTTTTTTGTTGTTGGTAGCTCGTAGACTTGTGGGTGCATTATGATGGGAGAACATTCGCACACCTACAAGTGTGTGACATGCTTACACTTGGCTTTCATGACCGTGGTCTTTGTTCTTTCTCATTTGCGGCCTAATGTGTGCATTAGAATGGTACCCACCCCCCTCTTTCGGAGTCCCACATTGCCTGGTGTGTGGTTGATACACTTGTCCCTTGATTATTGTTTGATTCATTTGCACGGGGACTGCCACCCCCTAGCCCCTGTGTTGTTTAGTATTTATAGCGCTGAGTTCGAAGGGGTTGATGTAACAAGGACAGTGCCTGAGAGAGGGGTAGGTTGGGTGCAGGGGCGGGGCTAGGAAAAGGCGGGCGAGGTAGGCCAGGGGAAGAAATCCCTTAAACTTCCTTCAGAACTTGTCACGTTCGAGTTTGGTCTAGGGTATTCAAATGGAGCGCGGAGCGGAAGCAAGAAGAACAAAAACGGAACGGGGAAAGGCGCCCGCGCCTTCCCCCTCTTCTCTACTAGACGGATTGGCTTACCTTATGGTGACATAAAAGACATCATGAATCTGTTATCATCTGTGAAGGAAAACATTTCACCTTGCCATAATGCGAGCTCAGTGAGTTGTTCTTTTTATCATAGTTGATATGAGACCGTTTTCAAACATTTGACCCGGGGTGTTAATGTTAATATGCTTAGTTTAGTACATCCTTTGGCATGCTCTGACAGATCTTAAGAATGGTTTCCTTCAGTTCGATCTGTTAAGTCACAAATTCAAGTGTGCTGGCTTCTCACCTGGGAGCGATAATGCACAAGCTCGCAACAGCCTGCCCTTTTGGCGGCCCCGACTGTTGGCTCATTAAATATTATTTATGTTGCCTTTTTTTTGTTTGTCATGCAGATTGCAAGTTCTTCC